AAAATAAGTAATTAAATACATTTCTACCATTTTTAGAATTTTCTGTCTGTCTGTCTGTCTGTCTGTCTGTCTGTTTGTTTGTTAACGTATCACGTATAAAGTACTAATTTATATCATAAGAATTGTTAAGGAAATTATAAAGTGTATCTTCGGGTTACATTTAGTCTTTATTTCATTAAAATCAGTTCATTCCATCAAAAGTTATGATAAATATTCTGAAGTATGGGTAGGGAAGTATAGGTACGAATTTGCTCAACGGTGGCTTTGTTTGAGTCATCAAGTGCATTTTAAACTAATATCATATCATAAATCATAGTTAAATTATGTAAAATAATGATATAATTATGTATATCTAAAACGCAGTAAACAAAAGTATTAAAGAACGTATTAAATATTATACAAAAATATATTAACCTTATTAACTAAATCTGAAGCACAATAGTTAACCCATTTCTTCGATAGATGGTGGTGTGGCATAAATGTGATACAAAAAGGCAGGTTAAAATTTATTCCTGTAGTTGAGCTTCATATTTGCTTCTAACCTTTATATTAATGACACGCTGCCCTACTGCGTGTTGACAATCTCATTTATTTTTAATTTTTTTACCGCCGAGTACTCTATGTGGTAAATCAAATTTTAAGAGCTATTAACAATTTCATTTTTCGGCGAGGATCAAACTTTCTTTTTTGCTTACTATGCAGGCACTGATTTATAAGTTCTTTTATGTTTTTTATTGTATCAATCGTGTGAATTAATCTCTTATTTTTAGAATTGATGTTAACAGCGCCATCTCTCTTAAGTCTATACATATAATAAAAATGGTAATAACATGTTATGTCTGTTTCTGAATATTGTATAGTATATTAATTTGCGACTAAAATCATTATTGGGACTGTAAATCATTAAATAAGTACATTTTTATAATTTTTAGAATTGTACTATCTGACGGTCTGTCTGTTTGTTTATGGACGCATGACGTTTTGAGTAAACATCTTTTTTTTTCAATGAAATCCTTAAGAAAATCATAAAGCGTATTATCAAGTTCATTTAATCTTTGTTTTATTGAAATTGGTTAATTCTATCGAAAGTCATGATTATTATTTTGAAATGTAGGTTCGAATTTGTTTAATGGCGCCACAAAATTCCAAAAATAGTAATAAAAAGATTCGTGTGTAAAAAAAACGTTCTATTATAATATATTTCGTATCGTTCTATTATAGTACTTAAAACACAGTAAAAATATGTTTTCCTTAAATTAAAAAAGGATGTTTTCTCACAAAGAACGTAATAGATGGCGTTGTACAAATTACAACCTTTTCTGAATTGCGGTGTTAAGATTTTTCGCAGGTGAATCGTATTGAGACTCACTGTAATAATTTATGTCCATGAGCCCAACGAAACTGCAAACCTGTAAGGTATATATACAGAGGTATTGAAATATTTAATTATTCAACAAAACCCGACCAAAACTAAAAGTAGCAAAATTGCAATAAATGTCGTGATGGTGATATTGTTTTATAGCCAGAATCACTCTAATACCAAATAACTTTTTTTTCAGTTTTAAGTAAAGTTGCAGCCTATTTACGTCCCACTGCTGGGCACAGGCCTCCTCTCATTTCTGAGAGGGTTTTAGGGCAAGGAAATGTCCACCGCGCTGCCCCAATACGTGTTGGCGAACTTCACATGTCATCGTAATATTATTTTTTATTTCTCAAACATGCAGGTTTCCTCACGATTTTTTCCTTCACCGCCGAGCACGTGGTAAATCAGCACTTAAAATTGCAATTAACAATTTCATTGGTGCCGGCGGGGATCGAACCCGGGTTGCTCGAGTACTGTGAAGCTTACAGCGAGCGCTAACCATCTGAGCTACCACGGCTCAGGCTTCAGTTTTAAGATAGGGATAATAACATCGATGTTGGCATCGCTAGCTCAACATCGATGTTCGATGTTTAGGCCACTCAAAACATCGATGTTGACCATTATCGATGGTTTTTGTATATGTGTAGATAGTTACACATTGTTTTAAAATTATGTGGGTATACACAGCAAGGAAAAAGTAACAATTAACTTGAATATCAATTTACGTAGAATAGTTATTATGCGACAACCGACATCGACACTATAAAATAAAGCGAATCAGTGACCATTGTGACATTACAGGAGACACTTGACAATTAAGTTTGACTCACCATACTGACATTTTTTTAGATTAACGATGCGTTCAGAAATTCTGAATTATTCAAAATTTTTAATCTTCAGAGCAGATGCAAGATTTAGTTGATATTGATTTCGCGAGTTCGCATTGTTTGCAAGTTCCCAATTATCGATTATGGGTTCATTGACGTCGATGTTTCGATGTTTGACATATGTCAACATCGATGTTAAAACATCGAAGTTTTAATTTTTAACATCGATGATCATCTAACATCGCTATTTTAAGTGTGTTTCCCACTCAGCGTGTGTTATGCGACGATCGTAAATAAAGCGCAAGGTCAAACTTTACGCGTCAGTACTGATTGTTTTGCACATGGCCAGCTCTATATTGCTTTTTCTCGCGTTAGCAGTCCCCGTAATCTTTTTCTGTACGCCCCGGCTAAGTCTACTTCTATCGTCGTTTACACAGAAGCTCTATCATAAACGACTTAGAACTTTGAGCATATCGATTTATTTTGTTACCACTTATTCATAGAGTAATGATATAAATCGGTTAATATTCTCTTACCCTAAACGTCAAATTCTTTAAGTAAAACCTATATTCGCGAGCTACGCCGCGGGCACAGCTAGTTTTTAATATTTTACGAACCCTGTAAGTTTTTTGAATTAGGTATCGTATTAGGTAACTGTCCAAGTTCATAGAACTTTCATCAAAGGCTTAGACTTAAATCAATCAAATCAATAAATTATGTGTTTGACACAAAAAATGAAAGAATTTTGGTATTTCGACAGAGTTATTATAAAATGTCACATACTGCCATTGAAGTATAATATAGGTACTTAAACATATTACTTCTGCTATTATTGATGAGAAAGACAAGTAATTCTTTTTTTCGACGGTATAAACATGTCGTCATTTGACCGATCTGAAAAATGCGTGTGAAAAATAATACTTAAATGAAATTTAAGTATAATGAAGACGATATTTGAAATAATTAATAGATCCGTCACTTTGTATCGGATATGGGTGCTGTAATAGACTATAGAAAATGCTAGAAAGACTTCATCATCATAGTCTACCGATAGGTAGTGATGTAGCTATAGCCATCCCGTTATATATATCCCATAATATCTAGACCGGCTAAGAGCAGCACAAAGGTGCGACAGGTGTGTTACTCGATTGTCAATTCACTTCCAAGCATGACAAGTATGACCATTCCTCCCTAAAATGAGAGGGGCCTATTTCAAACCATGTATTTTTGGGGGTTGATAATGAAGAAGATAATTTCATAGTTCTTGGCCTCCATTACGCGAATATATTTACTTCTACCTCTACCTGTATATCACATTACCTCTTCAAGCCAGCTGTGGAAAGGACTATCCTTGCTTTGAGAGACAAATTTTCAAACATTCTAATTCGTCACAAATCCATCCTAGCAACATCTATTCTAGGACCGCTTGCCGATGAATGGGTTGGCCAGGACAGTAATATGTGGCCCAGTTTGGCAAAGGCCTATGTCCAGCATTAGACTTAAGTGGACAGATGACGACACCAAGAATTTAATTTGTAACAGCTAAGACCGAAGTGAAGGACGTTTTCTGGCGAAATGAGTGACGACCTGCGCACTGCAACTATCTGTAACCTGACGCGTGAAACCTTAATTAAGGCTAAGTACTTACGTCTTAGGAGAATCTTTTGTACAATGGAGAGCACAAAGTGATGGTGACAGTAAAATACGTTGAACTCCTCTTTGAATAAAAAAAACAGTGTTTTCTTACATAAAGACTACTATGATCGGACTATGCGATGCTCGGGTCCTGATGCCTTTGTTGTCGATATTCCATGCGTGCGAACCTAACGGTTTTCTTAATCTTTCGTAATGCGTACAGCAGGAGTGGAATAATTTGCCAGCATCTCTCAATCTTTGAATTTTTCAAGGTAAAAGTGGCTTTAGTTACATTAAGGCAGTGTAATTTACCATCTAAGTGGGATTTGCCTTCAAACACTGTCCTGCTATTTTACGCTGGTATTCTGTGTGAGCGTGGTTTTTCCCCGGTCTAGCCGACCCGTTCTTTCTTCAACCATAATATAGCTGCAGCAAGGCTCTACCACGTAAAAATTACTATCCATCTAAAAGTAAGTGGCAACAGCAATCAGCAGTCCATGGACAACTGCAACCAACTCCAAGCAAAAGAGGTTATAGATGCGATGACACCTCTGAGGACTGAGATGGAATACCTCACAGCCTATAATAATACTAGGGGCTTCTACTGTTCCTACGGCGCCACGATTTGAAGGCGGATTGGCATAGATCTCGACGAGATACACCGAAAAATAAGAAGCATTTTAGCTTCGATATCTCGCTTTGTTTCCGAAATGTAGGACGTGCACTTAGCACAGCAGTGCTTTTTGCTTGCTTTTCAACCAACTTCAAAAAAGAAGGAGGTTTTCAATTTGACTGAATTTTTTTTGTGTTTAGTTCAGAACTTTTTCTATATATACCGATTTTGATGATTCTTCTTTTTTATTTGAAATCTGGTGCTTCTCATGTGGTCTCATATAAATTTGATCAAGATCTGACCAGTAGTTTCTGAGTTATCCTTAATAATGCGTATTTAACTGACTTCGACTACATTGATGATGTTCTCATTTTATTTAAGTATATTGAAGTTGGTGCTACAAAATTTTTAATTTTACCACTTGTTAATACTCAGACGGATCCCCAGACAGAAAAAGAGTCCTACTACCTAATAAACAGTGAAGTGAAAATGTATAATGATTTACAAAAAAGAAATCGTTTTATTAATAGAAACCCATATACTCTTAAATATTTATAAGTACTTAAACTACATAAATACCGGCACCTTCAACTATAACATTGCAACTTTCTGACAACGGTTTTGTTGGTGCATTTACTCTTGGTTTTTTGAAATTGCAATCTCTTTTCAGCTTGAGTGCTAAGGCTTCTACGTCTTTCTTCAGTCGATAGTCACTGAAAATATTAATTTTAAACATATACAAAAATGCACTTTATGACTAAATTGTGGCTTATTGGCCAGAGTAACTACGTGTTAGTTATGAATTCTTTACTCAAGGTCGCACAGTGGCGGATTTACCAGCAGTAGCAGCAAAGTAGGCTGGAGCCTAGGGCGGCAGATTTTAGGGGCGGCGAATTTGGGGCTAAAAAATTTTCATTTTTTGAATAATTTTTCTACAATTTGCGTTTGGTTGTGGCGCGGAAACGAGTGACATGACCGTTCACTAAGTGTTTGATCGAAATGCCTGCCCTATGTAGTATATCTATGGAAATGCTGATGAATTGACTGAACGAGCGAGGCACGGCCGCCGCGGGAGCCGCAGCGGGATCGTACTGTTGAAGGCGTACGCTGCGTGTTGGCATTGAGTTCGAAACAGATAGATAGATGTATTTACTTCAAAACCAAAAGAAAAGCTGCCTCGGTTGAATCCTGGTGCGATTTCTAATACGTACTAATATTTCTCTGGCACAATTTTTTGGAAAATTACTTATTGGAAAAACGTTGTGAAGAGGGTTCTTGCCGTAGTATGATAATGCTGCAGACATGGCAAACATGTCAATCCAAAGCCAACCTTTTGCTTTTTTCGTTCCTCGCTCTGTCCTCTCTTAAAATTTAGTGGCAACTGTGGCTGCTGAATGTTGCACAGAAGCATGTCGCTTCTCCAGTTCTTTGTAGCTGAATGAGGAATTTTATTTTATTATTTCCATGAAAAAGTGATCGAATTAAGCGTGTCGAAGCAGTATGCAAAAGATATAGGGGAAAATATAACCAGAAAGGAAAAATATATAATGAGACTCATACTTCAGGGCTAATACATTTCTCGTCCTCCTTGATAGACTCGTATCTAAATTAGAAAAACGGTAGGTGTTGGTTCAAAAAAACTTTTAATTTAACCCTTACAGAAAATGCCCTTTTCTTGGAAGAAATTATCCTAATGATTAGAGACTGACTTATGTAGTTCAAGAATTCATACATTTTCAGTGCCACCTTTCTTCTGAAAGAATTTTGGTGAAACCAGATTCTGGATCACTGAAAATTTTATCTTCTTTCCTGCGGACCCATAATTTTCAAAATGTTTATCTAAACTTGGATAGAGCAGTCCACATGGATTTATTCTACCAGTGACAAATTTTTCGGGTGTTAATTTTAAGTAAGAAAAGCTTCTCGCTTTTCTTACTTAAAATGGCTGAAAAATTATCTAAGATTCTACCTAAAGTCAACACCTCGGCATACCGGGATCACTCCTCTAAGTTACTTGCAATATCAAAGGACTGTTGAACTTCTTCGGGGAGATTTCATGGCTCGAAAACTAACATTATTCCTGTCCACACGCAAAATACGCGCTTAGACGTGGAAAACAGCCCGTCGTAAACTCAACTACCTAAAGTCAAGAAAAGCTAAACACTTTAGCTATTTTGTGCGTAGAGTCAGAACTCAAAATTAATGAACAAGATTTCATCTGATGATTGATGATTATTTTGCGAATAGAAAATTACGCAAAAGGGAATTTTGAAACTTTCTACTTATAATTGAATATATTATTTTTAAACTGTAGGTAACCGCAATAAAAATTATTTAATAACGTTTAACGTTGAGGTAGTATTAAGGCATACCTTACCCCACCTTATTAGAAGTACATGATTGAGCTATATAGAATATAGCCAAAAGCTATTTCTTGTGCAATCTTAACTAAATCGTTGAGTTGTCAAGATAATCTGGGAACTGACACGTCGATTTACTAGTTCACAATAATTATATTAATAACGAGAAAAGGGTGGTGTAATTTTATTGACAAAAATTGTAATTAATATGATTGTGAACTAGGGCATCAAATAGTAGAAGATCGATAGGGGCGGCAAAATTGGAATAGCCTACTGGCGGCAAATGTGTAAATCCGCCACTGCGGTCGCAGCTCGCAGCTAATATTTAGTGATTCTGCACTAAACTCGTATTTCTTTGAAAATTATATAAAGAAAGTAATTAGAAATAATCTAATCGAACTATATATATATATATATATATATATATATATATATATATATATATATATATATATATATATAGATTATTTTTACGCACATATATATTATAAATACTTACACGTAATTTATACGGCAGCAATAAATGCAAGCTCCTAGAAAACACACACTAGCACTGGATATAAACAAAATTACAGATATTATTACACCTTGAAAAACACTGTCAATTTCTAAACGGATTTTATCTGAAACAAAGAAAAATCCTCAACTATAAAGTTAATACAGATTTTTGTGCAAAGGAGTTATTTGACATAGTCTACTTCCCGAATTTTTTAAGCCTTGATTAACTGTAAAATAATAGTTTTATTAGCTATAAAATCCTTATAAAAGCACGAAATATGTTAATGCTATTTATTATAATCAAAATCATTCAAATTAAATACCTAAAAATCGTAGTACTCGTATTTAAAAATTTTGATCTGTTAATGTCCGAAAATATGTTACGCTGGAGGTTATACGACATTTAAAACCAAACATTAAATCCACCAATAGTGACTTATTACGAAAAACAATTCAACTGATAGTATTACTAATTTATATAATCACAATCGTCAACATCAGCACTTAAGCATCCCGTCCATGAGTAAGTGTCTCTCATTTGTAGAAACCGTGTAGGGTGGTGTAAGAATATCAACTACCCAATATAATCCCGGGGATGTCGCATGAGGCGACAGAGGGAAAATGTAACAGACCCCGTCTGCCAAGCGTGGCAACTATGGCAAAAACCCACAAAGAGGAAATCTTCGGGAGAGGCCTATGTTCAGCAGTGGACTTTTCATAGGCTGTAATAGTAGGTATCAGCAAGTAACAATTTTTGGCCTCTGTCGCCGTACTCTCACTTCTATCACTCTGGTCATGTAGGATATTTCTTAGCAGCATAATTTTATACGTAGTAGAGCCATGCTACAGCTATATAGTATAGTTGTAGCACGAATGGGTCGGCTCAACCAGGGAAGGACCACGCTCTGGCAGAATACCAGCGTAAAAAAAATAGAAGATTATGTTGCTGTGTTTCGTATGGTAATTGTAGGGAACCGGAGACCCTTTTTACTGGAAAAGAGGCATTCCATCTTAGTCCTCACGGATGACAACGTATCTGCATTTTGATTCGCAAACGATTATTATAGATGTGGATGTCTATGGGCCATAGCAACCACTTACCATCAGGTGGACTGCTCGCTTGTCATCCTTATCCCATAAAAAAAAAACTACGAAGTTTATTAATGACCACTGATTACGCTGGTCTACACACCAGGTACTTTGCTTTATTCATCGCGACAAATTCTTTATAGAATAAAATAATTTATAGGTTTTGTTTCCGTTCTTTATGAATACAGTCTAGGGTGAGGTCCCTCCTCACTTTTAAATAATTATCAAAAAATTATCCTCGTCTTCATAAGACCATTTATACTCCACAGGTGGGTCTGAAACTTTACCGTTGAAGAACGGATTTGGCTCCTTAGTCATACTTAAGGCAAATTGGTAATTGCTGGGTACAGGAATGACGCGTCAAAACGTATGGTAATACGTTTTGACGCAGCATTCCGTCGCCAATCTCACCGCCATCTTTCAGATCATTTAAAACAAAGAAAAAATATGTAAACCACCTAAATTAATTTACCTTGCGTGTCATATTTTGCTGTCAGTGTCTGTAAGAGCAGCTTGATGTTAATTACACAATCGTGAATTGTGTCGTTATAGAACGAACCACTGTAAAAATAATTATTTTAAAATGATTAGTAATAATTCGATTTCATATAAATACGTGTCAGTATAAAAGAACAACAAAATATTATTTTCTTATTCATTATTGCGATTTTACTAAGAAAAAACAATATTAAATAAAGTAAAGGAATTTCACCAAGTAACAACAATCGCAAGTACAAATTATAAAAAACATTCTCATATTGAAGTTTCGTCACCGCAATAATAATGACTGCAGAAGTCGATAGATAAGTTTGAGAAAATGAAATATGTTTTTTTTTTCGCCTTATACTCAGTTGCGCTAAGCCGAAAGAAGTTGATTCAAGCATTACCTAAGTACTAGCTTTTGCCCGCGTAAAATCTGGAAACTGAAAGACATTGCCCAGTATTTTGACAGAAAAGGTATTCGGTTGGTACATACGAGTAGGTCTTTTAGCGTTAATGAGCAATATATATTCAAATACGTAATATTGCACTGAACCAAATGACTTTTACTTTTATGTTATTGCTCTAATTTTAATTAATTTCACCCTATCCTATAAAAAAAAAACTTTTAAACGTCTTATATAAAAAAAAATTGTGTAAATATACGTTTTAATGCCTACCAAAATAAAAATAAAATAGCTTAGTATTAACTTACACAGTGTTATTACAACCAATGTTTTCTGCAATACAGTCACCTAATTCTCCACAGTCACTTACACCAGCAGATGACTGCAAAAATAGTTAAGTACATACCTTTGTTTTAATGGAAATATTTTTAATATAAAAGTATAAAATATTATACATACGTCGTCTCTACCAAATGAGGCAGTACCTATAATAAGAATAAATATTATAGTTGATAATTAAAATTTTTAACACTTAAAAGTTTCAAAGAATAATAATTAACTTACAAGCCGATAAACACAAACAAATTAAAAGTAATAACCTCATATTGAATTTTAAATTGCTAAAAATAATTTAAAACACAGCTGCAAAATAAATTAACCTAAATATTTTAAACTCAAATTTAACATTTACTTTACGAATAAACTGTACATTAATAGTTAAAATATAAGATCTTAATATCGTAAGATGCAAAAGAATAGTTCTTATTCAAATAATTCATAACGAAAGATGATTTCTGATTTCTGTAGTGGGCACTGTACTAAAATAGAATGACCTCGAAACAATAATAGTAATTTTGATCATACGTTGTAACCTTAGTTTCTTTCATATTTCTTTATGAATTTATCTAACTTATGTAAAGATTTATTTTTGAACAATAACTAGCTAATAGTAAAAATATTTTTTATTTAAATTTATGAGATTATTGAAACAACGCCAACATTATTTGGATGAGATAATTTTATTTTTCAATCTCAATTCTCGATATCATTGCTGTGTAAATGAAATATGTTTTTAAACCTGTTTTGTATATAAACTATTTAGAATTATTAAGATTGTTTACGAAAAAGTTTATGTATTTTCAGATTTATTGTAAACAGGAACGTAATGCCAAAAGAAAAAGTTGTTTCGTCATTGCCATATGTACCTACGCCAGTATATTCTAAGTCTATGCTATGTACCTACCCCAGTATATTCTAAGTGTATGGTACCCACCTATATATTTATACTGCTAAGTAAAGCCACATTTATATACTCATGTGGTAAAGCTCCAGTATATAATATATAGGTATTAACTAAAAGTCGCGCGTTAGAGTTTCCTATCTCAAAAAGCAAAACAGAACTCTTAGGATCACTTTATGTTCCATCCGTCCGTCTATCAAGATCCTTTTTCACGGGAACGAGTAGGTAACAAGTTGAAATTTACATCAAATACCAAGGTCTACGGTAGCTTGGAGGTGGGAAATTCAAGTCCCCAGTCAACGCAATCAAAAGATACGGCCATTTGTCACATATGATTGTAAACATACTCATCTATACCTATATGGAATCCCAACTACCTAGAACCATAAAATATGGCGAGAAGCAAAGTCTCATAGCCAATTTAGTGGATTTTGAAATAAAACTGAAAGTTTTGACCACCCTTTTAGTGGAGAAATATTGTTTTTAGTGGCTAGTGTTTTTATAGTAGATTAGTAGAATTCAGTCTCAATTAGTGGAAAGATGGTCACTGCACCATTAAGCCACTTATTTTTCTAAATATATTTTTCCTTTATTTCAAGAGTATTTACTTTCAGTGTTAGGGCAACAATGATTCGTCAGACATGACATGCCTCAGTCCTTAGAGTATACATTAGCAAACTATAGAGCCGTGTTAGCAAGTATGAACAGTAAGCACGTGTATGAACCATTGATTTATATGTTACACTAGATAAGTAATTGCCGCGCCAAAGCATTGCCACTTCACATATGGCCACAGCCATATGCCCAAGCAACATCGGTTCAGTGTTCAATGCGACGCCGACCGAGTTGAGCCGAAAGATTCACGACAAAAAAATAGGTAAATGCGTAGTGAAAGAATGCGATTCAAGGTCACAAAAACATAATTAATCAAGCGGAATCACTTTCCACACGTAAGTTTTAGTTTATGTTTTCATATTAACGTAAAAAACACAAAAAAATGAAATAAAATATCGAATATTGCAATTTAGGTTCAATGTTGCCACTTTTCTGCCTTTGCAATTTTCCCACATTACACTACTACGACTATATAATTTATAGAATAAGTTAATTTGTTAGCCCTGACCTTAGATATTTTGGAAGTTGTAATTATAACTATGTTTCAACCTTTATACAAAGGAATTAATTATTTTTATTTTAGAATATTCTAGAGATCTATAGATCTATTAATTATATTTTATTACCTATTTTATATTAATAATTTTGCAGGGTACCTAAAGATGCAGCACACCGTAAGAAGTGGGTGGAAATAATACGATTGCTGAGAAAGGAGACTCACTGGGTGCCTTCGAAATCTATTCTCATTAATTCTAAGCACTTCCGGGATCAAAACAAACTAGGACCAAAAAGCGATGGCGAACGTGTTTATTTAAGAGGATTAGTACGACAGATTAACACCATTTAGTATTAACTAAAAATATATTAATAATCACAGTTTTTGTGGCTAATGTCATGAGACCAAATTTAGGAGACAAAGACTTGCCGATGCTTTCACAATTGATGAATATTTCAAGTTAAGAAACCCAAAATTGATTTTTTTTACTTGATTTATTTTTTGTTTGATTTATCAGTACAATAAAAGATACTTCGAAAAATCTTTCATTTCATTATTTATACTTCTACTCATCGGATAAGCAAAGATACATATTTAAAATAAAAACAAATAACTGCAAAATAACTGCTTAAAGAAACTTTTTTTATTGCTTATTTTTGGGTAAAATTTTATATAGTAGGCAATACCAATCCGTCACTGCATGTTTGTGTGTCTATCTTTATCTAATCTTAGCGACGGTATTGTTTTCGTGACTTGTGTAAGTGAGACAGATATATGTTTACTTAAAAAGGTTTAGTGGTTTCAAAGCTACGTCCTCGCGGCTAGATAGTGGCTTCACTTTTTTCGGCGCGCGGTAATGTGGTTTGCTCCTCTAGTCTTGTATAACTCAATGGTATGAACAGTGTTGAAATTTCAAGGGACGCAATTAGTCATGAAAGGACACGCGCGCTGATCGTTTTTCTCATCGGTACTAATTGAATTTTAAAGTGATATGGTGAAATATGCAAGCTGTAAAAAAGATTCACGAAAGCAAACTTAGAAGAATAATGATATTTCTTGTCATCGGTAAGTAATATTTTAATTAGAAAACATTGATTTTAACAAAATTAATTAGGATGTCAAAGGTTGTTGCGGGAGGCGCACGAACGATTCGACTCAACACGTACTTTCGCGCTCCCCGCTTTATGCTTTCCTCGAATTAGAGGTAATGCTGTTGTACAAAAAAGTTAATTAAAGTTAAACTTACAACATAACATATACGTCCCATTCCTGGGCACAGACATCCTGAAAGGGTTTTAGGGTAAGAAAGTGTCCGCCGCGCTGCCCCAAAAGTGTAAGATTTTTCCGTCACGACCCCCTTTCTTTTCTCTATCTTGCCATGAAAGAAATATTATTTTAAATGACTTCATTTTAATAGACGGTAGTAATTCATTTACTACTATTTGTTAGTCAATAATAGAATAGGTTTATTAATAATAATATATTACAAAAAGTACTTCATTCTAACCGAGTGTTCCACGACACTTACGCATGTTTTTTTTCTTATTACTCAGACATGCAGGTTTCATCACGATGTTTCCTTCACCGCCGAGCACGTGGTAAATCAGTACAATTTAAGAATTTCATTTGAAGATCAGATACTCCTTAAATATATATATGCATTTTTCACATTCCTTGCCGTTGAAAATTTCCAACTCCCCACCATCCAGTGCAAACAGTGTTGTAGATTTGGCCATGTGGCAGATCAATGCCGCTCTAAACCACGCCGCTTCTGATGTGCCCAAGAACATACTGGAGCAAGCTGTTCCTGAAAATGAAACCACTTGTCTGTTATGCTCCAAAAACCTTTTTGCTAATAACAAAAATTGCCCGGAACACCATCGACAGAAATCTATCAAAGTGATGATGTCAGAACAAAATATATCTTAAATAGAAACTTCAGCCAAAGTCCCATCTGAAGTTAGTTCCGTCCGTTTGAAGTATCTTCAAAAGTCTTACTCTAAGGTGGCCTCTTCCCAGCTTTCACCTACTTCTACTACCTCATTCAACCTCCCCGACATGTCGCAGACATATAGGAAAACCATTTTTAAATCTCCCCGTCCCATCCCTAGAATTTCCATGGGGTATGATCAACACGCCTACCAAAGAATAGTTGCAGACTGTCCATCCTCTCTTCCAAATAGATGTGCATTATCCAATGCGTACAACGAAATATCCCGAAATGAAAACCCTGTTGAATGCCTACTTTCTCTCCTTAATAATTTAATTTTGAAAATGTCAGACTTACTATCAAACAAAGTTGCAGAAAAATCTATAATTTAGCTAGTTTATTAGACAATAAAAATTACTCAAACCAAAGACCTCCAACTTCTACAGTGGAACTGTAGAAGCTTACACCCTAAAAAATCAGATCTTATCTTCCTAATAAATAAACATTCAATTTGTTTCTGTTGCTTCAATATCAGAAACATGGTTTTTATCTGGTTACAAATTCCGATTACAAGGCTTTGCCTGCCTCCGTGAAGATAAAAATGATGGTTATTGTGGTATTCCCATCATGTATCTTGGGGGTCACATTTTTGTGACCTATTCTCTTCAGAAGTTATACAAATTTATGAAGACATTATTGTTTGCATCATCAACAATGGTTCCCCACTCATAGAGTATATCCAGGGCTAGATCCTAGGTTTACTGTGGACTTTACTGCATGTTCTTCTAGTGTAGCCCCTCAGATTTGAAAATGAATGAAGACTTGAAAAACTCTCAGTCAAACATACGGAAGTGATCCTTATTACTAAACCCTCTGCTGTTACTTCTTTACCTTCTACTACTCGCCTTCTTAAATATAAGCTCCAAGATGCAGATTGAGCAAATTTCACAAAATTTTTAGGTACGAAATTTGTCCAAATGCAGGTTGACTTTTCAACCAACCCAACCCACTAAGTTCTTACTCTTTATTACTTACTTATCTTCACGCACAATCCCTGACGGGGTAGCCAGAGAGAACAGATCGCCAAGTGTCACGATCCTTACAAACCTCTTTCGCTTCTTTCAGATTCATTATCTTCTTCATGCATGCACGTCTAAGTATCCGAGTACTCTTGACCCTACCCTCTTCGAGCAATTTGCCCACATGGTCTTCGAAAGTTAGTCTCGGTCTACCTCGACACCTTTTAATATTAACTTTCGCGCTATATATTTTCTTCACCATTCGGCCTTCACTCATTCGCTCAACGTGCCCAAACCACTCTTT